AATTATAAAGAGAGATCATTAAATAATGCACTGGACAATTTTTTAATTAAAAATTTTAAAAATTCATTAATAAAACATAAGGTTCTCATAGTTTTTTCTTATAAACTATTTAATAAAGCATTTTTTTTAAGAATACGGTAGTTTGCGGTGGATAGATCTCGAAAAAACATACGCGATTTCAAAAAAAAAAAAAATTGTCCAAAACAGAAAACCGAGTCAAAAGTTATGCCTTTCTGAACTTTTGACACTTTACAACTTTAAAAAAAAAAAAAAAAAATTAATCGCCGGTTCAACCGGCGAGGTGGCCGCGGAGGAGGCCGATTTCGGCATTCCTCGCCGCCGTTAGCGGCGCGATTTTTGCAACACTGATATATAAAATATATATATAGATTAGAATAAGGATAGTATTACACAATTTTATAATATTATAATAGAATTTTAACGGTAGAAATCAATATATTTTATTAGGAAGAGAGATTTTTGGGAAATGGGAGGGAAGTTAAAAGTTCAAGATTTTGTTTTTATATATAATATAGATATAGATATAGATATAGATATAGATATAGATATAGATAGATATAGATTACAATATGAATTGTATTAAACTAATTTATAATATTATAATAGAATGTTAACCCAGAATTATTGTACGAATGAGAAAGTAGAAATCAATATATTTTATTAGGAAGAGAGATTTTTTTAGGAATTGGGCGGGAAGTTAAAAGTTTTTGAGAATTTGTTTTTATATATAATATAGATATAGATATAGATTACAATATGAATTGTATTACATTATTTTATAATATTATAATGGATTTTAATCCAGAAAGTAGAAATCAATATATTTTATTAGGAAGAGATATTTTTTAGGAATTGGGGGGGGGGGGGGGGGAGTTAAAAGTTCAGGATTTTGTTGTTTTTATATATAGTATAGAAGTATAGATTACAATAGGAATTGTATCACACTATTTTATAATATTATAATAAGAATTATTGTACGAATGGTAAAAGTAGAAATCAATATATTTTATTAGGAAGATAGATTTTTGGAAATTGGGTGGGAAGTTAAAAGTTTGAGAATTTGTTTTTATATATAATATAGATATAGATATAGATTACAATATGAATTGTATTACTCTATTTATAATATTATAATAGAATTTTAACCCAGAATTATTGTACGAATGAGAAAGTAGAAATCAATATATTTTATTAGGAAGAGAGATTTTTTTAGGAATTGGGCGGGAATTTAAAAGTTCAGGATTTTGTTTTTATATATAGTATAGATATAGATTACAATAGGAATTGTATTACATTATTTTATAATATTATATTATAATAGAATTTTAATCCAGAATTGTTGTACGAATGAGAAAGTAGAAATCAATATATTTTATTAGGAAGATAGATTTTTTAGGAATTGGGGGGAAGTTAAAAGTTCAGGATTTTGTTTTTATATATAGTATAGATTACAATAGGAATTGTATTACACTATTTTATAATTTTATAATAGAATTTTAACCCAAAATTATTGTACGAATGGTAAAAGTAGAAATCAATATATTTTATTAGGAATAGAGATTTTTTAGGAATTGGGCGGGAAGTTAAAATTTCAGGATTTTGTTTTTATATATAGTATAGATTTAATAGATTTAATAAGAGTAAAATAGAGTACTAATTATGCCAACTTTGATTGGGATGAGGTTCGAACCTAAGACCTTTAAATTCTTATTAAAATCAATGAGTAAGTTAACGGTGAACTAACAGAAATTAACGGAAAAGATAATATTTAACAGAAAAGTTAACGGAAAATCACATTCATTAAGGATAAATTAGGAAATCTTAAGAAAAAATTAAAATCTGATCAATCTGAGCCATTAATTTGATTAAAAAATTTGACCGTCATTTTTTCTACCCATTATAGGCCTAACTCTCTTGGGGTCTTATTAGTATATATATATATATATATATATATATATATATATATATATATATACCCATTATAGGCCTAACTCTCTTGGGCTCTTATTAGTATAGTAGATTAATAGTCTTTTATTGACTTTCATCATTTTGAAAATATTTAGTGTATATAATTATTTTTGTATGTTAAGGAGTATTATTATTATTATTAAAATTAAAATTATAAATTATAAAATAAATAAAAAATTTAAAAAACATAAGGGGAGCGCTCCCCTTAATTCTACCACTTCTCCCACATCGGTGGGAGAAGTGGCAGGGGGAGCCTTGAGGCTCCTATAAAAGGGGCCTCAAGGCTCAAAAAAGTTATCGCTCGGATTGCTTGGGTAAGCGATGAGCAAACAACGAGTCTCATTAGTAGAGATCTGTTGTTCTTCTATAAGTAATTTTTTCATAGTATGGGGCATGTTTACTGAAACAACTCTCCCAAACGTAAACTCCCCTCTTATTAGGGTTTACAATTTCAGCGTTTTGATTGTACGGATCTTAGTAGGGTTTACAATTTCGGTGATTTGATTAACAGGCCGTCCATCGTTCTTCACGTGCACTTCTTGCCAGCCATTCCCTACCGTCGAATTTGCGCCGTCGCCTGCTCTGATTCCCGGCCGTAGCCTGCATCTTGACTCATGCCTTTGACTTTGGGTTTCTTCACCTTCACTCCCCAATCTTCCTGGTACTCTTTCATCCCTGTCATTCTAATAACGTAGTCATATTTATGATTTGTAAATGAACAATTTTCTGTTTTCATATCCTGGGTGTGATTGTGTTCCATCCATGGCCAAACAACTTATAGACTTTACTCTAAATAGAATGTTCCATGTTTCTAAAAATCATAAAGAGTATTACATTGATGATAATTGTTGTGGGTTGTGGGTTGTGGGTTGTGGGTTGTGGGTTGTGGGTTGTCTGTTGATTGTGCAATTGTTTTACTATATTCCATGTAATTTTAGAATCAAGATTTTCAGTGAAGGCTACAAGTGGATCAACTGTGGATGCTGTGGCTCCCAAGATTTTCAGCTAGGGCTTCAAAGAATTGGAAAATTGAGATGCTTTATGATGGCGCGTTCCCACTTTGTATGCGTGAGGTCTCTCTTTACACAATTCCCTTTTTTTTTTTTTTTTTTTTTTTGTTATTATATGTTATTGTGTACTCTCTCTCCATGCCACCATTTTTCTGGTGTAATACAAACAGTTTGCAACCCAATACCCAAACTCTGAACTTGGAGTAGAAAGGAACAAAATTGCTTCTTTATCTCTCTTTTTGGTTTTTTAATAACGTAGTTTCATTTTTCTTTCAGTTTAATCTTTTTTATTTTTATTTTTTTAAAATTCTTTTAGTATCTCAAGTTTTTTTATGCTTTTCATTCTTTTTTTTTTTTTCTTTTGTATAATTTTTATTTCCATATCTCATTATTATGTTCTTTTGGTGTTCTTTCTACTTATTTTTAGTTTTGTTGTGTATTTTCAATGTTCATTTTACAATTTAGTATTTATATTTCTTAATATATTTTCTCCTGTATTTTTAGTGTTTTCAAGTGCTTTTTTGGCTTTAAAAATTATTTTTATGTTATTTTTTATTTCCACTTTTTCATATGGGCAAGATACTGTCTTTTTCATATTTTCAAAATTATAAAATACGTTCGTTTTCATATATTCAAAGTTCATTTTATAATTTTTAATAACGTATTTTCATTTTTCTTTCAATTTAATCCTCTTTTGTTCTTTTTATTATTATTTTTTATTCTTTTAGTTTCTTAAGTTTTTTTTTTATGCTTTTCATTTGTTTTTCTTTTGGTTAAATTTTTTTTTTTCATAGCTAATTATGTTTTTCTGTTCTTTCTACTTCTTTTTAGTTTTGTTGTGTATCTTCAATGTTTATTTTACAATTAAGTACTTATATTTCTTAATGTATTTTCTAATGTATTTTAAGTGTTTTCAAGTGCTTTTTTGGTTTTAAAAATTATTTTTTTATGTTATTATTAATTTCTACTTTTTCATAGGGGCAAGATACAGTCCTTTTCATATTTTCAAAATTTCAAAATTACAAAAATAAGTTCCTTTTCATATTTTCAACGTTCATTTTATAATTTTGTATTTTTATAATTTTAATAACATATTTTCATTTTTCTCTCAGTTTGATCTTTTTTTGTCCTTTTTTTTTTTTTTTAAATTCTTTTGGTTTCTTAAGTTTTTTTTTTTATGCTTTTCAGTTTTTTTTTTTTTTCTTTTGGATAATTTTTTTTCCATAGCTCATTATGTTTTTTTGGTGTGTATTTTAGTTTTGTTGTGTATTTTCAATGTTTATTTTACAAATAAGTACTTGTGTTTTCAAGTGCTTTTTTGGTTTTAAAAATTATTGTTTATGTTATTTTTTATCTCTACTTTTTCATTGTTTTTCTTTCATTATTTTGGGTTCTTTTATCTTCGTAATTGTTATGCTTTTATTTTTATTTTTATACTTTGCGTTAGTTTTCTTCTTTTTCTTTTTTAAAGTTTTTATTTAGCGTTAATTCCTTTTCAATTTTCTTTTTGTTTTTGTTTTTGAGTTGGTTTTAGTGGCCATTTTAGTTTTTAAATTGTTTTCATATTTTTGAAGTTGAGTGTTTTTCTTTTTGTTTTTGTTTTTGAGTTGGTTTTAGTGGCCATTTTAGTTTTTAAATTGTTTTCATATTTTTGAAGTTGAGTGTTAGAAAAGCATTTTCAACTTGTCTGTTCTGTTTTTGGATATATTGGGGAATAATATGACTATACATGCAATACACAAACTTAGTGTGTTATCTAGTCACATTGCTGAGGATTAATAAGACCAACTCTTTTCCATTTAATTAAATTCCTGTTAATATTGCATTACTGACCAGCATATACAAGTGAGTGTATTTTGTAATGGTTACTAAATCTTCAGCAAAATCAATCTAAACATGAATTAGTGATTACTAATTGCTTTATATGTGTAACCCCCCCCCCCCCACCCCCCACCCCACCCCTCATGGCTGTGGTTCACTTCATTCTGAATAGTTTTGTAGGCAATGTCTCAAGTGCGTTAGATTTTGTGAAAGCACATTCCTGATAGATCCAACAGGGATTTTCAAAGGTTTGCTTATAGTTTAAATGATTTTAAGAAAGAAGTGCCAAAATGCCAAGATACTTCATGATCAGTGGCTAATATCTAATGCTCAATTAATTTTATTGACTGTGTCCAGGAGTTACCACTGCAGATGATGGAGGTTTTGCCATTTCATTGTTGGCAGGGCAGAGGAAACCCTACCAAATTATAATATTTAGGTATTATTATTTTTCACAATGCGGTGAATTTGCATGTGTGGCTTTGCCTAACATATTACTCCGTATTTATTCGTTTGTATTTTTTGCATTAATTTCCTTCTCTTTTAAATTATTCTTTTTGTTTGTATTTAACGTTCGTTTTTCATAATATATTTTCATAGTTCATTTTATAATTTATTTTTATATTTGTAATATAAATAATTTTAAGTTTTCTTTTTGTTTTTGTTATTGAGTTATTTTTAACTTTTTTCAAGTTTCTTTTAGTTTTTAAAATGAGTTTCAGCATTTTGAAGTGTTTTTTTAGTTTCTAAAAAGATTTTCATATTTTCAAAGTTCATTTTATAGTTTTGTATTTTTATATTTTTAGTAATGTATTTTCAGTTTCCATTCAATTTAATCTTATTTTGTTTTTTTTGTTCTTTTTTTTTTAAAAAAAAATTCTTTTAGTTTCTTTAGTTTTTTTTTTTTTTTTTTTTTTTTTTGCTTTTTCTTTTTTTGTCCTTTTGGATAGTTTCTTTCTTTTTTTCACAGCTCATTATGTTTTGTTTGGTGTTCTTTTTACTTATTTTTAGTTTTGTTGTGTATTTTTAATGTTTATTTTACAATTTAGTACTTATATTTCTTAAAGTTACTTTTTAGTGGTTTCAAGTGTTTGTTTAGTTTTAAAAATTATTTTTTATGTAATTTTTTATTTCTGATTTTTAATATGGTTTTTCTTTCATTTTTTGGGTTCTTTTCTCTTTGTAATTTTTATGTTATTTATTTATTTATTTTAATCTTTGCATTTATTTTTTTTAATTGTTCATTTTGTTTTTATTTAGCATCAACTCATTTTCAATTTTATTTTTGTTTTCGTTTTTGAGTTAGTTTTAGTGTTTTTTCAAGTGGCCATTTTAGTTTTTTAAAATGATGATGATTTTTTGTATTTTTAAGTGTTCTTTTTAGTTTTTAAATTGTTTTCATATTTTTAAAGTTTGAGTGTTAAATTGATTGTTTGGGTTATCAGTGTTGCAACCAACTATAGTTCTCTATGTTTTTAAAATTGATATGAACTTAAAAATTATCTTCTCTACTTTGCGGGAGCAAGTCCTGACTTTGCTGTTTACTTGTAGGAATGCTTGCATACTAAAGATTATGTGATAGCTTACTCCATGCTGGGTCGAAAAGGCCACATGTAATGCTTCCTCCTTCCTATTCCAACTCGTTTTGGGCTTTCATTTATGTGTTTAGATTACCTTTGTGTTTCCAGCACTGTTGCATTGCTTGTTTCTTTTCCTCATTTTGCATACAGGCCTTAAGTGATCCAAATTGTTTTTAAAATAAAGGAGTTTAGGTTTTTCCTATTTCTTTGTTCTGCTTGTGTTTTATTAGGTTTTTTAATGTTTTTAAATGATTTTCAACATTTCACAAATAATTTATTTTCCTTTTTTTTTTTTTTTTTTTTTTTGCGTGGGTTGTTTTTGCATTGTTATTCTTGTGCTTTTTGTTTTTGTTTTTGTTTTTTTTTTTTTTTAATTTTCCTGTGTTACTGTCCCTTATTTTTTTATTTGGTATGTTTTTAGCTTTTTATAATTTTTGTATTACTTTTCATTTTTTAGCATTTTTCAAGTAGTGTTTTTTTATGTTTTTTAATAAACTTTTTGTCTGAGGGATGGAAGGCTAAGACACTCTCCCTTGCTGGAAGAAGGGTTCTAGCTCAGAGTGTCCTCTCATCTATCCCTTTCTATTCAATGCAATCAATATGGCTACCAGAAGAGGTCTGCAAGGAAATTGAGAAAGCGGTTAGATATGTTCTCTGGAATGGTGGTAAAGATGGCCGACATGTGCGTGCATCTTGTTAACTGGGAAACTGTCACTTCTAGTCTATAGTGTTGATAAAGGTGGCCTTGGAATTAAAAGAATTAAAGAAATGAACTTGGCGTTCATGGCCAAGATCGGTTGGAGACTTCATGGCCAAGTTTCCCTTTGGGCCTCGGTCACCTTAAAAAAAATACACAGCCCGAATCTCCAAGAAACAAGGATGCTCCAATCTTTGGAAAGGAATCGTCCGGAGTAGTGATATCCTCGTCCAAATCTCTCAAGACAATCAAAATAAGGATCCTAAGAAAACAGAGAATTTTTCTGTTTCTTTGGCCTACAACAAAGCGGTTGGGGAAGAAGACCAGGACAAAGATGAAATTTGGTCCAATATCTGGAAGCTCAAGGTCCCTAACGGAGTTTGTATGTTCATCTGGCTTCTAAATCATGGCAGAATTATGACCAATAATGAGAGACTGCTTCGGGGATTCACTACGCATGGAATCTGCTGTCTCTGGTGACAGTATTGAGGATAGGGAGCATGTCTTCAGGAAATGCAAAGCAGCTAAAGAAATCTGGGATAATCTCATTCCCAGAAGACAGGCAATGGTCGGACAATATGCCTTTTGAAAGGTGGTTGAAAATTAACCCTCATAGAAATCCCTGGGACAACCTCTAAAATTAGAGGTAAAGAAAAAAAAACAAGACGCAAATTTTTGTCATAGAAAAATGTGTACTTTTTGAGAATATCCTCTCTTCCGCTCATTATATACCTAGATTCACACTATAGCAATAAAGTACAATGCTTAATAGTTAATATTGAAACCAGTATGCGGTAAATTTCACTTGCCTTGCTAAAAGTAAAAATTTTCCAATCTGCAAAAGGTACATATGTAGCTATTGATGCCTGGACATGGAATGAGAGCCAATTAGCCAAAACTTTAGAGGCTGAGGCTGTCAAAATACATTGAAACAAGGAAATGTTTCACTCTTGTCTAACCATTTATCAGAATATACAGATCGAAAGAAAAATGAGAGCAAAATGTAAAGAGATATCATACAGACTACGAGGGGCCTAATTTCTGGATCCTATGAAGTTGTGAACCTATATTACAAATCAAAACTAGAAAAGAAAAGAAAAAGTTGAAGCGGGAAACGAACTGTAACCAAATTTAACAGGATTCGGTGGTGCTGTCCACAGATTCCACCCGCCGGTGTCCAGATATTGGGCTCCGATGATCTAGCTGGTCCACATTGATGCTAACCTCTTCCGGTGTGGCAGCCAATTGTTTGTGATGCTCTTTGCTGCGTCTGGATTCAAGTATCCTTGCTAGAACCTGCACAGCATCTCTCATGGAAGGCCTTTTCTTGGGTACGCGGTTGACACATTTGTATGCAAGCGATGCCACATCATTAAGTTCTTGCACATCATACTTCCAATTAAGACGGGAATCCACTATCTCCTCCCAGCCACCCTTCCCATCCGTTGTCATAGCAGCCTGCCATGATTTATAAAAAGTTCACCAAACAAAGGAAGTGTGATCAACAGAGAATCCCAGAAAAGAAGAAAAACAGAAGGGGTAATCAAAATTCTGGGACCTTACTAGTTCAACATACTCCAAAAGGCCCTGAAGAGGATTTCTTGCTGCAATAAGTTCAAAGAGTAATACACCAAAGCTGTAAACATCACTCTTCTTGGTGAATGTCCTTGTTGATATATACTCAGGATCAAGATATCCAAATGTTCCTCGTATGTTAGAAGCATGTTTGTCAACCATCTCTTCCCTTGAAAGCCCAAAGTCAGCAACCTGCTCATTGAAGTGCAGTTTTGTCAGTTGCGTGCAAGAATTGTTCCATCATCATTAACCGCTAAAATGTTAAGCTGCATTATTATGATATCACATGTATAATACAGGTTTTGGTACAAAATCCTTTGAATACTACAATGCACAAATGGAGTTCTGGTCCACCACACATTTATTTCCAAATGGTAAAAAAGACTGATTCAACAATTACATACCCTGGCACGCATTGACTGATCTAACAAAATATTGGAAGACTTGATATCTCGGTGTATCACAGGAGGGACTGCCTGAAGACTAAAAAAGTCATGAAGGACAAGGGAAATGAAAGGCATAGTTGTACATGCCCAAAGATAATTGAAAATGAAAGAAAAAATGGCGAAGCATATTACAAATGCAAATAAAAGAAAAGAAAAAAAACAATTATAATAAAAATTGCAAATAGGAATAAAGTTTTACCCCATCATGAAGATACTCCAAGCCCCTTGCAACATCAAGGGCAATTTGAACCCTCAAATTCCAGCTCAATGGCTCTAGTACCTCATCTGAAATAAAAAAGCAAAGAGAGCACAGGAAGTGGTTAACAAAACCATGCAAATGACAGGTGAGATATTCAGAACACAAAATAACTTCTCGGCTATGCTAAATTAAACCTACTAAATAATATTTCTTCATGAAAGTAGAATGCAACTTAAACCAATAGAATTATTTATTTATTAATGACTGTTAAAATTAGGATGCAACTTAAACCAACAGATTCACCTTATGGCCAACATGTTTTACAGCTTACCATACAAATGCGAAGCCAAGCTACCTCTACTCATGTAGACATAGATAAGCATGCATTGACCCTTCTCCGCACAATATCCAACTAAATTCACAAGGTTTCTGTGATGTAACCTTCCAAGTAGCATGACCTAGGATTAGACAAATGCAGAAGGTTAAAGCATTAACTTTTGAAGGTCAATTGGAGGAAATAGAAAGTTGAAAAAAAATATAGATTATGCATGGGAAAACATTTTTTAAGGGAGCTACAGTGTATTTTATTTTATTTTGCATCCGAAAAGAAATTATTTGCAAAGATATCTTGAATTTGTTCAAGAATAAAAGAGTCCATTCATATAATCATATGTGCATTCCTATTCTTGAACAGATTCAATGAAATCATTCTTGGTCAATAGCTCTAACCAATTCTAAGAGTTATACTAAAACATGCAATGTACAAACTTCTCTGGAAGTTGAGATGCATAAGAATCTGGACAAATTCTCTACGCATCATTAAGCTACGTCTAATTTCAACTCAACAAGGTACTACACAATGTTTACAGAACCAGGTTCCAACTTCCAATATTGAAAAATAAAATCACCACTGCAAGAGTGTAACTAATACCTCTGTGTGGAACTCTTTTTCTCCTTGTTTAGAATCTGTTCCAAGCACTTTAACAGCAACAGTCTCACCAGTTGGCATCTGAGCTTTATAAACAGGCCCATAGGCCCCTTGGCCAATTAATGTGGAAAAATTGTAAGTTGCTCTGTGTAAATCCCTGCTCGTGTATCAGGAAATATACACCAAGAAACTTGGTTAAGGCAAAACATAAATCTTTGCAATGAAAATGGACCAAGAACCTCAAACAAAAACTCACAAACAAACAGAAATCCAGGTAAATGACCTTAAGGTGCTATGAAAATATGAGATACTGACAGCAATGTGCCTCAGAAATAGAATAAAGCTGCCCATGTATCAAATATACATTGACAAACTTACTTCAAAGTAATATAGTAAAGCTGAGAATGCCCCAAATGGACCAAGTGCTTTCATATACAAACTCGCTCAAGATACTAGAAAGTAATGTGCTGCAATAGTAGAATAAAGCTGCTTGTGTATCAGGAGATATACATTGAGAAACTTAGTTTAAGGCAATACATCAAAGCTAAAGAATGCTAATGGATAAAGAGCCTGAGAGCCACATACACAAACTCTCTCAGACACAAATTTTGCTAAGCAACCATAAGGTGCTCTGGAAATATGAGATACTAGTAAGTAGCATGCTTCAGGAATACAAAAAGATTGAGATTCATTCCAAATAGCACACCAAATATCCTCCACACTGTTGATTAACTCTATAATCAGACAGCAAGGAACTTAAGTTCTTGCAGTCCATTTATGGTAACAGAAATATAGTATAAAATGAACTTTTAAACAATTTTCATTTGAGGCCAGCAATAACAGGTGAGCTACACAATAATTGGAAAACACGGTGTGAGAATTTTGAAGTCAAAATCACAACACAAGTTATTAAAATAGTGCATTGTCAATAGAAGTACATACTTGTAAGAAAACTCTGGAATCCCAGTTGCAGATACCATATTTGTCTTCCTAAGGCTCCCAAACCATATGGATGTCCCATTTTGGGTGGTTGTTTTTGGTGACTCGGTACCAACAGAGGAATCTGACAATGTTGTGCATGCATCAGCACCATTTTGACGAATTGGAATTGTAACAGCTCTCCTTGAGCTGCTATTCCCTATCTGAGAGTGTTTTCTATGTACTCTAAAGCAAAAAAGTGCAAGTATAGCCAAAATCACTCCAATCACTACCCCAATGGAAATTCCAATAATTAATCCAGATGGCAGGTCTTTCATTTCTCTCTGTACTTCACTGTCAGCTATCTAAGCATCCACCCCATTGAGAATAGCTGGAAAAATCTGCAGCCAATTGACCTCAATGAACCTGGAAAGCTGATACCAAATGAGAGTTTATTTACAGAATGATATATTGAATAATATTCTGTATATCTCAAAAATACAAAGAGTTCAGGTTGTGTTTATATACATCATATATGTAGAATATAACCAGGATCTAAGGCTACAGAGGCCAAAGCCATGTAAACCATGTATGTGTGAGAGTCCTAATACCACTGCGGCAGCAAGATGAAATTATCAAAACCGCAGAACTTGTTCAAGTTGAACCTTAATACACTAGGCTGCAGCGTTGCGAGTAAAAAGAGAAAACAATTGAGAGATCCATAAATTGCATTTCTAATGCTCAATTTCAGGAATAAAAGTAGATATAAGAGTTCAAAAACACTTTCACTCCCCTCCTCTATCATATAGAAGTTTGCAATGAACAACGAAATACTATTAGTACAAAAAAAAAAAAAAAAAATTCCAATCTCAATCCTAATTCTCTCCTATTAGGCCATCACCTTGATCAAATTCCAAATCCAAACACAACATACGCGAAGATTGAAATCTGAGCATTAAGTCAAAACTTTAAGATTTAGTCAAAGGTTAAACGGAACAAGTCAAAAACCAAACGTCTTCAGCACTCAGCAGTATCTCAAACACGCAAACAAAAAATCAACTGTAAATCACCAAAATTCTCACCGAATTGAGCCTAAAAGGAAGCAATGCAATCATATCTATCAACTTTGATCATTTCAAACAATAAAAAACAGTTCAAATAGCGAACAGAAAAAGGCGATAGAAACAATACACGAATTTCCTTTCCTTATGCTTCTACAGAAGCCTTCTCTTTCACCTCGAACACTTTCCTCAGCAAGCAAACAACACATATACGATCCGGAGCAACATAAAAGCAGAACAGTCCAGACCAGACTTTACAGGCAGAATCCAAAAGAAATTTAAACAAAAATTCAAACGAACAAAAAAAAAAAAAGCTAGAGAAGATGAAAAAGCATATGAAGCTTAGAGGCATGTGGCTGGAAAGTATAACGCACAGATTATTGTATTGAAGCCATCATGTTAGTGTGCATACCTGGCAAAGAATGCTTGAAGGCAGAAGCAGTTACTACTTACTACATGATATATATGGAGTATTTTCTTGAAGTATCACTGTACTCCGTATTTAGGTACTTTTGAGGGAATATGGAAACTGAAAATTTTGGGAAGAGAAAGGAATCTGGACGAGACTTTGAGAGCGAGAAAGGAAATGGGGGACCTGTTTGAACTGCGGAAAATTGCTTTCTAAGAATGGCGGATTATAAGGTCACAATTTTGGGAGAAGCCGGGAAGGCATTTATTCTTTGAATCTTTTAAAATGACTTCTCTCCCCCATTTTATGTCTTATTCAATATTTATTGAGTTAATACCCAAAATCGTCCTCGACTATAGTGGTTTTTCTCAATTTCGTCCTAAACGACTTTGGTGACCTAATATCGTCCCAGACTTTTGTGTTTCGCTCAATTTAGTCCTCCATTTGTTATTCCGTCAAATTGGTGTTAAATAAAGGGACAATTCAGTAACGTCAATATTGATCTCTCTTTACTTTCAACTTGTGAAGTGCGAAATTCCTCTTTCGTGTACGAATTACGCCCAGAATTACTCCCGGACCTGCAAATCAAATTTTATATTCGCAGTTTTAGGAGTAATTCTGGGAGTAATTCGTAAAAAAAAAAAAGGATTTCACAGTTCACATGTCTATGAGTAAAGAGATGCCAATATTAAAATTACTGAATTGTCTATTTATTTAACACCAAATGGACAGAATAACAAATGAGGGACTAAATTGAGCAAAAATACAAAAGTCTGGGACTAAATTGAGCGAAACACAAAAGTCTGGGACGATATTAGGTCACCAAAGTCGTTTAGGACGAAATTGAGAAAAACCACTATAGTCGAGGACGATTTTGGGTATTAACTCAATATTTATTAGTCAAATCAACATTTTCATTAATATTTATTTATAATTTTAAAATTTGACCCTTTGTGTTTAATAGTATTTTTAATATAATTTTTAAATATATAAATTTGACATATTAATTCTAAACTTAATATTATAAAAAAAGAATTAAATTATAAATAACTCCAGTCAAGCCTCACTAATTGAACCTGACACATAAAATGAGACAGAATACGCTGTAAATGAAAATATTACCAACTATGCACTAATAAGGCATGTGCCTATAAACGGAAAAAGATAAGAGTGTATTTACTCCAATTCTTTATTTTATTCTTTATTTTATTTTATGTTTACCAAACATACAAATAAAGATATTTGTTTCGACATTGTAGGCTCATGTATATTTTTGTGTACAAAAAACCCAACTTAAATCCAAACTTTCGTTGTTTATTGCAAGAATCAAACTCACGAACCGAACATCCACCCCTCATGTTAGAAAAGTCTTAAGTAACCCGCACGGGCTTAGCTCAGTAGTTTAGTGGATAGTATTTGAGAGGAGAATAAAAGTTTTAAGTAAGATTTCTCATTTACTAGATCAATATCATGAGATTTTCTCTAACTTTTCATTATAAAAATGAAATATTTCTTCTATTAATAAAAGCACCTTAATTTTTGCAGATTGTGACAAGTTGAATCAAATTTATTAAAGTTGATAGTTTAATATTCTTTATTTTTATTTGATTTAAAAAAAAAATTGATCCAATTTGAATTGATCTACATTTTCATAAAAGATTTGACCAAATTCATTTTTTAAAAACTTAATTTATTTGTCTTCAAAAAAAACTTAATTTATTTTTATACTAATAATTTCATATAAGGATCAATTAGTTTCGTGCATAATGATTATTACCTTTGTTTTGTAAGGCAAAGTGTGGTAAGCTAATTCATAATAGCTAATGATTAAAACTAATTTTATTGTCGCAAGAATTTTGATAAGAAATTTTAATTCCTATAACGTTATCCAAATTAAATATTAACCACATTCTCTTTTATGAATCTATCATAAATTTATAAGTTAGCTGAATTCATATCGATTTTTTAAATTTGATTTAAAAATTAGTTAAGACTACACTATATGTCAAGTTGTGATATTGAATTATATATCATAATTGTCACAACTTTAGATTTGTCTTTTTACTAATAAATCAAGTAATAATATTATATTAATAATAAAAAAATTAAAAGTGCATAAATAGAAACTCTTTTGGTTCAAATAGAGGGATAAAATGAAAATTTGAGATTGCAAAAGTCACAAGAGATTACATATTACAATAATTTCTCCTATTAACTAAATTTACAATTTGACATATTAATTGTTGGCCAATAATAATAATAAAGGAAAGTCTACAAAGGGGAAAAAAGGGGAAAAAAAAACTGACAAAATAATTTAAAAATGTCAGGACATCATACTGTTTATTTATTATTGGAATAACATATGTTTTTTAAAACTAATTTTACAATGCATTGCTTGGGTTTCTCCCTCCGGTTGATTAAAAAAAAAATTACATGTCTGTTTAAATATGAGTGTATCAAGAAATTAGCTTGTGCTTGTAAGTATGTATTATATTATATGATTACATCTAAATAACTAATTGATCATATAAAATTATACAATCAATATCAAATATATGTTTTTCATATGAGTGAATGGTGTTTTTGAGAATATTTTTTTTTCTTACTAAATACTATACTAATAACAATTGACTCCAGAATAATATATATATTTAGGCACATTTGATTTAAACTATATTACATAACTCCTAAAACTTATGTAAACGTTTGTATTTTTACAATGCATTGCTTGAATTTCTCTCATAGTATTTTTGTCACGTCCATATAAATCCTATTCTCCCTAATTTGACTTTGATACTAGTGAGGAGATTAGGTGAATGGGGAAAAAAAAAGTAAGGAACTATTTATTTCTTTTTTCCTTCTTTATAATATATAAATATTTTCAAAGTAAATGGCCACTTTAGCACTTTATTTCGGCATCAGTGCAATTCAAAAGCTTGAGTCGGATCTAAATTTGAAATTGAAAAAAAAAAAAAAAAAAAAAAAAGAGGGAGGCCCCATCGGTTCACAAAAATTAATTTTCTTCCCAAAGATTTGTTGAATGCCTACGTATTAAGACATTTTGGTGGGGCAATTCGATGTGATGGTGGCAATTAATTAACTGTGTCACACTCAATAAACAGAAATATGAAGCTTTTAAAAGATGATAAAAGTAGATATAATGTAAGAAAAAAACTTAGATTATAGGAAAGTTTGTTCTGATTCACTTTGCTTTAAATAACACGTACCCTTATCTTCTAAATTAATTTGATTTTAGTCCTTCACATTTCTGTGTTGTGTGATGGGAAGTTTGGAAATTTTGCAATGGCAGAAATCAACCCTTAATCTACTAACTAACTGTATGACGTTAGTGATCCCACGTTGGACCATTTTGAAAAACATTTGTGAACTACTCATGTTGAAGGTGAAAGATGCTATTGTTATCTCATAGATAAAAGTTTAATTTTTAGATCAAATTACAGGAATTATTTATTTATTTATTTATTTAAAAATCTTTCAAATATGACAATATATGAATCATAATTGATTAATAAATGTATATTTTTTAACATGAAGTAGGGTCAATAATTCATGGTTACTAACAAATTAAAAGAGCTTTATTCTACCAACAAAGAGCCTCCTCACCTTGAGAGGTTGCTCCCACATTGTCGCTGGTGAGACTCGATCTCTGGTCATTCTTCCAAGCTTTTACCTCTATGACCAGTTAAGTTGCCCATGTGGGCATTAAAAGAGCTTTATTGACATGCCTAATGATGAACGAAAATATTTATCCCAATATCAAGTGAGGACATGCTCATAAGTTAGGGTTGTTGAAAAATAAGGGAGAAAAAGGCAAGTTTTTTTTTTTTTTTTTTGAAAGGGAGAAAAAGGAAAGTTAGTTTTATAACTATTACAAACTCAAAAGTTTCAATAATTGTAAAATTGATCTGATCTTACCACCAACATCGTCACTACCACGTACATCACCAACACCAACACCAACACCACTATCGGACCACCGCCACCGCCACCAATACCACCAGTCCACCACTATCTACAACAAACACCAACACTACTGCCGCCGCTACCGCCACCAACATCACTATCACCACTACCACCACTACCACCAATAGCACCACCACAAACATCAACAACACCACCACAATCACAACTACCACCAACACCAATATCACCACACAACCACCACCACCGTCACCAGCACAACCATCACCACCACATATTATTATTATTATTATTATTATTATTATTATAACAAATAATAATGAACCAACAACCCGCTAGAAGAAATGTAATTTCTTAACTTTCAGCCAAACAGAATAAGATAGTTTTCTAACATTCAACCAAACATAAAAAAAATATATATATATATTTTTCTGAAAAATGAGTCATTTTTGAAAAATAATTTTCAAGTTTCCAAACGTAACGGACCCTTAGGGTGTTGACTTTTAATCATAGTCATGTGGAGAATATTCTAATATGAGCATCAAAAAAGAAATTTGACCACACGAGATTGATGATGTCAAATTTACAAAGATTTAAAAATTTGTACTCCTTGTGCGTACAGTAAGATGAGGGATTAAC